ACACATTTTAGCAGAGAGTCTGGAAAAGAAAAACTCCAGAGGTCCTTTCCAGCCTCAACTACTATATGATTCTTTGCATCTATGTATTAAATACACTGAAGTATCTGTCCCACACTTGGCTTTGTATGGAGCATTTAACAAGTCAAACATAATTCTATAAGCTAAGTTTTCATAAGAGGGTAGTCAAACATGAAAGCTGCATTTTATCTTAAAAAAAAACGTCAAACAACTCCTAAGACAGTAAGATGTAACCAGTACTGTCCATAAGGCAGTATTTGGATAATCAGTATTCTGACAATTGCTGTCCTGAAATTTCACTGCCCATTGTATACTCTGAAATTCTGTGAACAAATTCATGGTGAAGCCATCTACCCATGCTTTTCATAGAATATACTGAGCAGTAGTAATGCTAAATTTTGTCTTTCTATCTTATGGTCTACCTTGCAGACTTATTCCCTCAAGTAATTAAGTAATCTCTTTCACTGAAATAAATTAGTGCTTTGAATTTATTAAAAAAATTATGTCTTAACCTGGTTAAATCAATGAATCTTATAATGTAAGAGCTTTTTTGTCTTATTTCTAATTGTGTCACTGGCTTAATTTTGCCATCTTTTGACCCAAATTGGTTAACTGAAAACTAGAGAAGAGAAAGCTGAAGCCGTCATGAGGAATTCAGTAGCAAATTAGTTAGGAGAACTTCATTTAAGCAAAATAATCTTCTCCTTTTATTGATGCTACATTATTGAATCGCTTAAATGTAATCAACGCTATCAAAAGTACTTTCATTGGTAAAATAGTTCAAATTGGATAATTAAAATAATCAAGCAATCTGGAGAAATTAGTTACACTTTTTAAACAAGGTATTACTTTTGACCCATGATGATTGTCTTTTGTAAGATGTCTCTCAGTGTTTTGGGAAGTTATTTACCTGTGCCTTTTGACTTGTAACATGGAGATAATTTAGGCTGATATATTTTTTTTCTTCTGAGAAAAACTTAAAATTGTATTTTTAAAGATGGATTTTGGAGAAATACCAAATTTACCATCAGACATTTAATCTTCAGAGCCTTAATTTATATATTCCAAGATGAATTATTTGAGTACAAATACCATATGATCATTCAGTGTGCTGTCTGGATGGGGTAAGAGACCATAAATAATGACTACTCAAACACTGTGTTTTCAGATCCTTGAGAACTTGATGTCTGGCATATCCTCCCCTGTATGGTAAGAGAACATAGCTGATATGGATGTGCAGAGGAAAACCGCACCAAGGCTAAACTTTTAGCTGTATAACCTGCAGAACACTTGTTGGAGCTCCATGCCGTATAGGTTACCTGCTACTGAATTAGTTGAAATAGCCCATACTTGAGGATCAAGTAACAGATTGATCAACTTGATTCTAGAGTCCAAAGCCAAAGGAAAACATTCTTTAAGGTTGTAAGAACTCCACAGAAAAACTATGCTTTTCTCACTCTCTTCTTCCCTCCTGTGTTCTCCTGACGTGGGTCCGCCATGATCAGGAAGACTGTATTCTATTAGAATCTGATATATTCTTAATATCTCAATGTTATCAGCTGTATTTTCCTAACTTCTGATGCTCCTATATCCAGCATTCCTACTTGATCCATACAGTACTGCTTTATCATTACAAGTTAAATCTTCTGTAACTGCACATTTGAAAACTTCTAGATAGCTCTTTTTTCTCAGTAGAAAAATGTTTATATTCTGAAGTATTTAAACTAAGAATAATATTGCAAATCATAACTTCTTTTTGTCCTACATGAATTTCAAGCATTTTTTTAGTGTTGCTGTGAAAGTATACTGGCTGAAAATTTGTCAAAGGCAGAAGCAAAGTTTCAGTAATTTGCAATAGAAAGCTCTTGTCTTTGTTTTCATGAAAACTGAATGTTTTAGTGAATGTTGACCTAATTATTTACTCCAGGACCTGTTCATGAACTCAGTATCCAATTTTCTTTTTATCTAGGAACGTAGATACCATGCCTTTGTACTCAATTCCAGAACCATGATAGACAAGCATTAATCCATCTTTTGTTAAGACAAGCACAATTCATTTCTAAACAAAATTCTGTAAATACTACAAGGATTGATAGATCTGTTGCTGTAGAATTGGCCTGCAAAATGGAAAAGGATTACTTAATCATAACCAATCTTTTTGGTTTATGTTTTAATCTCTTTGGGTCATTGTCCAGCTACTTTTGGTACAAACATAATTTTGATACTATAAGGACACGATGTACACGTTACACAGCGTGGTACATCTGTTCCTGCTGAAGATTATTTATGAAGAATTTATTTTCATGTAGCACGTCTCTACGAATTGTATTAGAAGTTACAATTTTCTTGGTTCAGTTAAAGTTGTTTTATACTTGAATTAAAAGAGAAATGGCTTGGATTAACAACTTTTTTTATTTTCAATAAATATATACAACTATAAGTATAAAGCTCACAGACTTCAATATTCTTACTTTAAATTACTAAAAGTAATTGTAAAAAATATACACAGGTACCACTTTAAAATTTATAATTTACAATCCTAAGTTTCATGCTGTGCGTTTTTAAGAAGTTACTATACTTAGCTGAACTCAGCAATGCGTTATTGAGTTTTGACTATTTGTTAAATGTCATTGATTTATTTTTATTTTTATACCGTGCTTAACTCTTATTTTTATGTTTAGTATGGTATAATGACTGTAGGAATTATTTTCTCTTTTTGTATATGTCTTGCATTTTCAAATACTTGGTTGTACATCTTCTAAAAGAAAACATAATATTTTTTGGAATTTTGTAATCAAATTCAACAATAAGTTTGAAGATATGCTGCTTTTTATTACCAGCAACAAATCACTGTTCACTTGCAGTCGCCTACAAAATTGGATACCTCCCCTCACAAGTCAAACACGACTTGTCATATCACACAAAGCACCAACTTTTGTAGCAGTTCACATTAAAGGTTGCTGGTTTCCCTGAAAGTTGTGAGGCATAAGCTGCTTTTGACTGAAAATTGTAGAACTTAATTTAGAAAATAATTTTTTTATTGGAAATTTTTGAAATTTTACTTCGTGTAGTGATAGATTTGAGGCAAGAGAGCCCCTTATAGAAACTTATTTTCCTATATACAGTTAGACCATTTTATAAGGTTTACATTGCTAGTTTATAATCACTCTTTTCAGCTTAAAATTTTTCATTAGTGAGCTTTATCATTGTAGAGGATAACTTTACCGTGGTCAATATCTGTAATGCCAGTTTTTATCCAAGTGGAAAAGCTCGCAGAGTGCTCCCAAATTTTATGCGTTAATGTTTTATAATTAAAATTAATAATATATGGATTTGTATGGCATCTTCAAAAAGAAAACAAACCAAACAACAGAGTTTTTCAGTTACTGTGAATCAAGCGTGGGAATAATTTCATGCACTGATGAAATTCAGCTTGTTCTAAGGTGAATAATGACAGTTTAATGGTGCCTGGCTGTGCTAACAGTAAGAAACAGACATCATCTATTTAAAATGGTTACAGAGCTATTTAGGGGAAATGTGACAGAGGTAGAATTAATCTAAAACAGTGATTTACTCTCTGATAAATTCCATATATCCCATTTTGGGGGTATATATATGCTTCTTGTTCCCTTAGTACTATCTGTTGCTCTAGGAGAGCAGGGTAGGTACTAGTAAGCAGCATTTCTTGCTTTGGCTTGTATTTAAGAAGTGCTTGATGGCAACTACTGGAAGCTTAAATATCTTTAAAAGGGAAAAGTTGTTGAATGGAATGAGTGGACAAAATTGGCAAAGAATTTACCAGTCTTTTACCTATATAAGAAGCTTTATGGCTCACCACTGATGAAACCAGTGAGGAAAATAATCTTGTCTTCCATCAGAATGTGCTTCTAAATTTAGACTATCTACAAATTAGTAGCAAAATGTCCTTTATATGACTCAAGGGCAGAACCAGTGTAGAAACTTCATTTTTTTTCATTTTCCCATTAAGACAATGCTTTTACCAGTTGAGGGATAGTACCTAAACATTGTCTGAGGGCTGTTAATACTATAGTCTACCAACTGCAAGTTATGGTAAATTGTTTTGAAGAATGGTTTAGAAAATCAGTGTGGAAAAAATGCTGGATGAAGTAGTTTTGGGAAAGTTTTACCGCCAAAAAATTAGTGTCTTTCAGAAATTAAAAATACCACCATTTTAAATAGGTTTTTTCTGCTAACTGTAATGGCGCTGATGGGAACAAAAGTCTGAAAGTGCTAGGATTGCTAATCTCCAAGGATCGTATTGATCCAGTGTTTCAGAGCTCAGTTGAACACAAAAGATTATGTATTTTCAAGAGAGTCAATATTCTGCACTCTTTTTTGTGCTCTAGAAAGGGGAGGGGGGACATTTACAGGGGAGGGGACCAAAGAAAATGAAATTTAAGTTTTTCTTCTTTGCAAGCTGATTTACATATGTAATGTGTATTCTATGCAATAGTTGCATAATCCTTGGCACCATTGTTTAACATCTTAGTGTATGATCTGGATAATGGGGAAAAGTGCACCCTCAGCAAGTTTGCAGATGTTAGAAAACTGTGGAGGAGTGTTTCACACACCAGATGGGTGTTCTTGTTCAGAGGGACCTTGAGAGGCTGGAGAAACAAGCCAACAGAAACCTCATGAAGTTCAATGATTAACTCAACCAAGAGAACAGAACTGATATTGTATAACTTCCCTTTTGGAATCTTTGTTCTAATTCTATGTATTGTGATGAAAATAAGTTGACTTTTCTAATATCCTCACAAGGTTTTAAATTTTAATGTAGCTATGCACAGAAATATGACTGGTATTTTAATGATTTGTTTCAGTTGTAAAATTTGTATCTTCTCTGATTGCGTGATTTTTCAACAACTGTTGCAACAGCACTGTCACTTCTAATTACACATTCAAAGAGTTTATTTTTTTAGAAACTATATGAGTTCTTCTTACTACCTATTTAATTCTAGGTTCTGTGGTCTTTGGAACTAGGCCATTGGATTTCAGAGGAACCATATGAGCTTTCATCCAGCTTTCCTGCAGCTCCTGTAAGTTTAATGGTCCTTTAAGCTTCTGAAACTTCTTTTGTTTATCTGGGAAATAACTGGCCCTCTAAACAGGTTTTGTGATCAAGAAAGCCTACTAGAAAAAATATTTTTTAAAGCAAGTACTGTAAGGAGTTACCTTCTCCTTTGCCCACTTCTTTTTGAAGTGTGTGCAAAAACTCTGGTATTCATGGAAAATGCAAAAAATTGATCCACCAATTAACATCTGAATAAGCCAAGATCTTCTTGAAGTATAAATATACTTTAATTTTATTTCTACCTGTGCTTGTATATAAAATGGAGAGGCATGCTATTGCCAGATGGAAGGATTTGCAGGTCACGGACTCAATTTTTTTGGTCCAGAAACTTCTTGGAAAATGGAAAATTACTGTGGCCTTCTAGAACTGCTAAGTAGGAAAAAATGAAGCATTTTTCCTGCCTCTAATGATCATTCTCAAATACTGAATCAGGAACAAATGCAAAAGTGTGCATGTGGGGGCATTGTGTACCTGTGCAGACCTGTGAGTATCTGCACTTCATATGTTCTAATTGATTAAACAGTAATTTTATTTTTTAAATAAATCAAGTAGAATTCTAGCTTGTTACTAGTCAATCATTCCAAGAAAGGTTTCCCCATTTCTCTTATATTGTACCAGCTAGTTAAATATATTACCATCTGCTATTTGTTTTTCAAAGTTTCATACAGACTTTGAAGAAAGAACAGTTAATGGAGTTTGAACTTTATTTTCACTGTTATTTTATTAAGTGTTAAGAGCTTATTTTTAAAATTCTTTTTAAATTTAAAATTTATGTAAAGTTGCATATTCAACATGAGGCCTTTACTTCATGATTATAAGTCATGTTTTCAAAGTGTAGGGAAACCGTAACAGTTATTCTGAAATAAGCTTGAAGAAATTAATCATCCATTATAATTTTCTAGTTTTTTCTAAAAGGACAAAGGTAATTTTTCTTTTTATGTAGCAAACACATTAGGAATGGTCAAATTTAATATGAAAAATAAATAAGAAGCATGTTCTTTTTTCCCCCTTATTTCTATGAAAAAATTACACTGTGTTTCAGACTGTTTTGAGTTTTCTGTGTCTTTTTCAGACTACCTTGTTTAATAACAAAGCATGCTATCAGTAACAATGTACATAGCATTCTTTGGAAGTGATTCCTCTCTGGGTTGTTTTTCAGATTCCATTTAGAGTTTGTATTCCTAAAGCAGAAGTAAAGAGGGTTTGAGAAATGGAGAGAATATAAAATTGAGGGAGGTTGTGATTCTGCTGAGAACCTGAATCACTTCTCTCTTGTAGAGGAACAAAGTTGGTGTCCAAGGCGATATTTCTATCACCATTCCAATCATTCCCTTCTTTAATCACTCTCTTACTGTAACAGGCATCCTACTTTTTTTTAAAGATATGATTATTATTTGAGCATGAATGGTGTTTATATTCCCTTTCTTTCCTTTTTTATATTCCCTTTCTTTTCTTGTTTGTTTCCTGCTCCATAAGAAGTATTTAGAGAAAATTGAAGTGCATTCTAGTTTTATACACTGTTTACTTGATTACAGGAAGGAATTAAAAGTAAGGGTTACCTTGCTGTTTTTTTAATTTTTGGTACCAAGCCCAAAGCTGTTGTTGAAGTGTTCTGTTTACTATTATTTCATTCCTTCTGAAATGTCCTCCTCTCACGTCACTTGGTATTTGCACTATGGTGATTGCCATGCAATCTTCTTTAGATAAAATGTCATTTAAAAACATATTCACTCTAAAATGTCACATTCATGTGGATAAACTCCTCCCAAAATGAAAAAGTCTCATTAAACAATTGATCTATTTAGTATCTACATCAGTATTTTTGATCACTTTCCCAGAATAGTCATCAGAAAGCCTTAAGCTTTATAAAGACTTGTTTTCAACAAGCAAAACTAGCCATGTAATATTAAATTATTTTTGTCATACAGTGTTTTCTTACCAAAATAAATAAAGTTAATGTCAACCAGAAGTTAGTACTATTTTCTTCTGCCAGGTTGAACGTTCATACTGTGCCAGATTCCATCATGGTTTTCAAGAAGCTTTTTCGGGAGTTGTTTGGTTGGTTTTGTTGGGTTTTTTTTAATTGCTCTAGAATATTGGCATGGATATGCTTAGTATCACAAATTGGGAGCATTTTCTTTAGTTGTCTAATTAAATGCAGCAAAGCAGGAAATGCAGTAATGTATACTCAGCATTCCTATTAGATTTCTCAGGATCGTAAAATATTTTAAATTAGCAGGGACCTCTGCATGTTGCCTAGTTCAACGCTCTGCTCCAAGGGACTCATCCAGTCCACCCTCATAGTAATGAGTGAATAAATTCAAAAGAAAATTTACATTCTCCAATTCCAACGTGCATTTGCTGTATCTTGTCCCTGTCTCTTGTCTCACTGCGGTGCACCTCTGAGAAGGGCCTGGCTTTGTCATCTCTGTGTCCTCCATCAGGCAGTTCTAGACAGCAGTAAGGTCTCTCCTTACCCTTTTCTCTCTAGGCCTCTCTTCATGTGTTGTATGCTTCTTGGTATGCATAGCTCCTTTGCTACCTGCTTTACTGTTTGCTCTCTAAGACATTTCTTAGGAATTCATGAAAGCAGTTTTATGACCTTTTTTTTTTTAGTTTGGGATAAAGTTTGCTATGAAAACCAATAAAATATTAACCAGTAATTTTAAGTACACTATTTTTCCAAGTCTTCAGACAAAGACTGTTAATTTACATTCTTTGGATTTCATGAAGTAATATTAGAAATATTTTTTTGTATCTGCTATACTTTAGTAGTGATGACACATTTTCAGTGAAGAATAGTGGTGGTGTGAGTGGTGGGGTTCTCTGACAGCAGCTTTAATGACTGTCAGTATAAAATGGAGAGTTTTCTTCCATCTTTCTCAAAATCGTTTACTGTTTTCAAGATAGAATCATGGAATCATCAAGGTTGACAGAGACCTGCAAGATCATCCAGTCCAACCATAAACTCAGCACTGCCACTGTAACCCCTAAACCACATCAGTCAGTTCCGTATCCAGATGCCTCTTAAACACATCCAGGCATGGTGATTCCATCACCTCCTCCCTGGGCAACCTATTCCAATGCCTGACTACCCTAACAGTGAAAATTTTTTCCTGGCCTCTAATCTGAATCCCCCGTCTCAGTTCAAGGCCATGTCCTCAATTTCTCTCACTGCAGGCACAGGAGGAGAGACCAACCCCCACCTGGCTGCAACCTCTGTTCAGGTGAGTTGTAGAGAGTGATGAGGTCCCCCCTGAGCCTCCTCTTCTCAAGACTAAACAAACCCAGCTCCCTCAGCTGTTCCTCATGAGACATGTTTTCTAGACCTTTCCTGAGTCTTGTTGCCCTTTTTGTTAAGCTTGCCAAACCTCTGGGCCTGAGTATTTTGTTTTGTCCTGGGCTATGTTCTTGCATTTTAACTAGTTCAGTCATCTGCTGGAAGTAAAGTTTTACAAAAATAGTACTTTAAGGCTGAGACTAAGCATGAGAAGTAAAAGCTAAGCTTAATTTTGAGAAAAATTTCCATAAAATTATTTTGTGTGATTTATGAAGAAATATCTTCTCAATCCAAACTGTAGTGTTTAGTACACAATCTTAAAGCATATAGTAGCAAAATGAGAAGGAGGAAAATAAAGCAAAGATCACCTAGTAAAGTAATTTATTCACATTGTGGCATACATTGAGGGCCTACCCACAGAGAATTTTTAGGGAGAATTCCTAACCTTACTGAAAAAAAAAAAAAAAAACACAACAGTGTGACCTTAGATTACTTTCAGATTTTTGTTTCCTGTTTTTAAAATGTTGTAATTTGTATCTTAAGTCATAAGCATAATTTTAATTGTATCAAAGAACATGCATACGTTTTTCAGTTAAGTTATTTTTACAAAACATATAGATATACTACAGCACCAGGTGATAAATGATTGTCATAGACAACCGGACATCTGGTGTTAATGCCGTTGTCTCAGTTTGTAGAATACTGGTCAATTATTTTACAGGTAAATAACAAGGGAAGAAAAAAGGTGCAATCTTCATAAAAATATAAAGAAATACATACTATATTGTAATTTATAGCGATTTTTGTAATTTAAAGAAACTGTAATAGTACAAACTGAAAGAAATGGTGATTTTTGTACATGGCATTTCCCCAAGAATAAATGCAAACTATTCAAATGCTATTTTTCCACTGTTAAATAACATAATACGGGCTATTGGAAATAATCCCCAAATAAGTGTAAGAATTGTTTAGGAGATTATGGAGGGAAAGAATGTATTTTCTGCCTACAGTGTTGAACTAATTACAGGAAAATATTTTTTTATGTACATAAAGGGCAAACATGACACAAAAAGATAAAGATAAATAGTTCTAGATCTAGCTAAATGTTTTATATTAATGTTTAAAGTACAGTGGTGAGGCAAAACGCGTATTCCTAAAACTATTTTAGTTTTTTTTTTTTTCACAGTTCCAGTTATTTACTAACACATACATAGCATAAATGATCGGTAAAACAGAGTCCTTGTCTGACAGTTTCTTGGATGTTCTTTTTATTCAGTCATTTGGCCAAATCACTATCAGATTGATGCTTTAGACTTTGTGTCTGGTTGAATAATATGAGCTTTAGCTGATCAAGGCTATTGCAATTCAGGAATTGTACTGAACTGACCCCTTCAGAAGACTAGTGCATGTTTTCTGGGCTTGAAAAATGCGACAAGTTGCAGATCTGTGTTTATATGCTTGGCAAAATAAGTCTTTGAAAACTATACAATTCACATAACTCAAAAACATTTAGAAATCTGCTGGTCGTATCATCATAGTTGTAGCTTTGAGAGAGTATCCCGAGCCCTTCCAATAGTACCACTTGATCCCATTAAACTTGTTGTTGTTCTGTCGTAATGGATAATACATTCCATTGAGGTTAGAAGGACCACAGGCATCAAACCACCATCCTACAAGACAGAAGACAAACATCAACAGAAGTACTTTTCAAAATAGTATATAAGGTCACTTTGTTGTCTGAAAATGAGAAAAAAATCTAAACCCTGTTTTTCATTCTTATGATTTGGAACTGTCAGTATAAAACACTTGCCTCAAACTCAGAAAAGAAGTGTATTTTATGTATCAACTACATATTCTTGAAGCTTATGTAATACATTGTACTTTAAAATTGAGAAGGGAAGGTGTTCAATCAAGCTTAACAACATCAAACATTGTTGACAGTCTGAGGGCAGAACATGAACTATAATGATATTGAGTTGTCTTTGATTTTATCTACTCTTTGGTAAATTCCTGTTCTTCAGAGATTTGAACTCATTTCTTAATTATTTCTAGAGGGTTAATTCGGTTCTCTGTGCAGATCAGCTCAAAACCTTCTGAAACTTGGTAAGAAGGAGGAGGAAAAAGCAGCCCTCATTGTGTATCCTTATAGTCCTGACCTGTTAGTGGGTCATAAGGAAAATTTATTTTTATTATAATTATTTTTATACTTCTGTTATGATGGTGATAGTATATGTGTTCTGTTTTGCAGGGCAGTAATCCAATTA